CATTAATTAACTGTTTCTTGAAATCTTGTTTTGTTGTTCTTTTCCTTCCCAGCTTTTATTCATTGCGTTATTCATCACTAGTTTAGTTGGTGTGAGTTTCGTTGTTCTTGTGTTTTAGTGTTTTTCTTATATTTGTTAAATTATTTTAATATTGAAAAAGTAGTATTACGTCTGTGAAAACATGAATAAAACTCATAAAAAAGTGTTGTATTCCACCTCCACCATGTTAGGACAAGTTCTTGCAAACGTCTTTTCACAAACTACCGTCCAAATCAGAATATCGATAAAAATTGCATGAAAAAATGTCACTCCTTATGGGTAGATAGAAGTATGTCTCCTTTTAACCCTTAACTTTTCATTACTTTTAAAGATCCACACAAAATAACTCCTTGTAAAGTGTTTGTAATTTGCATTTTTAGGAAGGCTGACACAAGCCGGTAAAAACACATTGCAACCTGGTGCTGTTCACACAATTTTTAAACTAAAATTTGTAATTAAAGTGCAGCTGTGCTGCCAGACCACAATTTTACATTGTCTTTCTTCCATCACTAACCTCCTAGATCCTACTTTCACCACTGACCGAACCCCTCCCAATTCCTATGACTTTCCCCAACTGGCGAATAAATTTCAAAATGAAAATTTATCTGACTATTTCATTCATTTACATTTCGGCCAATAGCATCTCATCATTCAACAACGAGTAAAAAATTTCAATCGATAAAATTGATGAAAGCAAAATATTATCGCCTTCACCTCATATTTAGAGCCAATGAGTGAAGGATATTTACGAACAAAATCAAAACCAAGCCAGTTTTCAAGTGATAAAATTTTACCTGCATGGTAACAGTCTAAACAACTTCTGTCGTTTTAAATATTTTGACAGTTATTTCATTTAATTTGAAAAATGAATGAAAACACGCGATTTGGGACATTACACTTGCAAGTTCAATAGTGTTCCCCAAAACAGATCAAGATGAAGGCTTGTATATGGAAGCAATTCTCTCAGTTCTGCGAAGAAAGAAATTATGAACTGACTGCCGATACTCCAATAGATCGTCTAACAGAAATTTTACAAGACTGGGCGTTTAGAGAGCTTACGAGGTACCTCATCAACAATACAATCAGAAACTCATAAAACGTCTGTCAGAAGTGAAAATAACGACATTTCCAGCAAAATTGTTTACAATAATTGTACATTTAATATTTAGAATAAATAGTTGTAGACTTGAATGTGTAGTTTTATTCATGAAATAGTCCTCCGAATACCATTCGTGGTAAAATTTGGTCTGGCAAAATTTTTCGATTGACTTACTCGAGTTTTTGTTGCCAATTTAGCTCGTCTGCGACTCGAGGTTTCTCTAACAATGTCACTCGATAAATTGCTATGCAACAAACTCTCGTACAATCTGAAAATTTTGCCGACAAAATCTTAACACTTATGATATTACTACAGAAAAAACACTCACTGATGCCAAAACTGAAGTGACCACAGGAAAAAAATATTTTTTGCAAAACTGAAACATGAAATTAAATTAAAAGTGAAATGTTTAGAAAACCAAAATGTATGTGCAGAAGCTGAACACAGATCAGCAATTACAGACATTATCTTAGTTAAACTTTGACGACCAGTAAAAAAAGTATTGGTAAAACTAGGACTGATAATGTAATTCCTACAAGTTCCCTCCACAGCAAGAATGGCTTTATAAAAATTCTGAAATTATAAACTAATTCTTGCTTTGTAGTGTTTATTTAAACAACAAGTTAATAATCTTCCGTCCTTTGTATAATCTAAATTTCTGAAAACGTATGAACATATAAAATGTCAGTGTCAATATTTTGAGGTTTAAACACTTTAACCTTCAAAAACTGGATGTGGCAAAAGTTTCTCCAGTTCAACGGGAATCACTTGAACTTAAGAAATGCCCACGCGAGAAAAAGATTATTTCTATCGATACGGCGATGATGTTAACACTAATGGAATCATATCTTGGAAGAGGTCAAACGCTATACGTTGATAATTGGTACACGAGCCCCACTTTGTTCAATTTTCTTCATGAAAGGCTAACAAATGCTTGTGGAACGGTAAAATGTAATAGATTGCATCTTCCTACTTTAAACAAGAAGTAAAAAGATGAGAAACAGAATTCAAAAGTACTCGAAATATGTTAGCTGTGAAATGGTTTGACAGAAAGGATGTAAGAATGCTGACCACTTGCCACGAGAATGAAATTATTGAGTGTGAAAAAATAGATATTGAAACAGGAGAACCCAAAAAAAAGCCAAAAGGTGTCATTGCGTCCAACAAGTATATGGGCGCCGTAGACAAATCAGATTTAGTGTTGAGTTCCATCGAATCAGTGAGAAAAACTGTGAAGTGGTATAAAAAAATATTTTTTCACTTTGTCGACTTCTTTGTGTTGAATGCATGGATTTTATATAAAACTGTTATGGCAAAAATCCCTCAGCAGCTCCGTTCCAAAAAGATTTAGTCAACCAGATGGTGGAAAAATATCATAAACCTCTACACGCTACACAGATCAGGCAGAAGAAGTTAAAATAGCGATAACCCAATAAGGCTATCAGTTAGATACAGGGTGATTCAGCTTAAATGACCCACCTGATACCTCTTGGCAGACAACCCATCATACACTATGCACTTACCAACCAACCCACTGTCATGTTGCCATTAAGACAATCGCATGTATAATGCTGGATGCCTGTGTAATTGTTTATATTGGATGTATATTCAATTCAATTAATGGTGTCAAATTATTAATATTACGGCAAAAATATTGGTCGTATAAAAATCATGACATTTTTTGTAAAAAAATAAATTTCCTACAACTTTTGTTTGGAATTTTTTTATAGGACCAATTTCTTCGCCGTAATATCACACATTTATACCATTCGTTTTGAAACTGGAGCAAAAACCCTGGCCCTACTAATATAGTGCTGATGGTTGATTGCGTAAAAATGTTTTAAACTTTACAAATTGTTTCAGATGCCTCGAAATTACGTGCAAAAACTCAACCAAAATACGGAATTGAAAATCTTCGCCTTGCAATCGAAGAAGTTAAAAAATAAAAAACTCACATTGGGCCAAGCTGCTACCAAATACTCAGAACCAAAAACAACCTTATTTATGCAACTAAAACAAAACGAATTGAAGATGCCAAAAAAAGGTCGGCACACGGTATTTAATAGACAACCAACCCACTGTCATGTTGCCATTAAGACAATCGCATGTATAATGCTGGATGCCTGTGTAATTGTTTATATTGGGTGTATATTCAATGTAACAGTGTTAACCACGTCTAATTTATGAATTTTTTTTTTAGGTAAAATAAAACGTGTTACGAGGCACGTAACGTTATCAGGTTTTATTACTTGAGAATTTTGAGGGCAAAGGGCGATAGTCCCTTGTTCTTCAACAATTCGCTCGTAATTGAAAAACCCTTATAATGTTTACTTATTACATAAACTACTGATCGAACGACATCGTAACATCCACAAAAGAAAGAGAAGTAGGACCAACGAGATAAAGAATTAAAACTTTTTTCATAAACCTAGGACGTTGTGATTAAGAACTGTCAAAAACGTCAATTAACAGTAAATTTAATTAAACGTTTGATTTTGTAATTTCGTTCTGCTTTATACATTACGTGGTTAATTGTATCAATGGCTGAGAATAAAGATAAATGCAGAAAAGGTAAAATGCAGATTAATTATTTATACAAAGTGATCCACAATGAATGAACCTGTTGTCAATCCTGACTCTAATTTTTAAAGCTTACCATTGGAGTGCGCTTTTGATTAACAATTCTTGGGGGGTATGCGGTTGCAGTGTTTCAAATTATTAACAAATGTACTTTCAAATCTGTTACCAACAGACTCAGTCTTTCTGGATCATTTCGTAGAAACAAAAAATTAGGAAGACTTGAAAACCAAAACTATAACGACGATAATGTGTTAGATCCAGACTTCCCGGTCCAAGACAAAACCTTTACCAAGAGTGAGCTTACTGAATTGAATTACCATTAAAAAGAGTTGTAAAAAATGCATAGGTATTACACATTATGTGATTCAAATAAAAATCCCGCTGTCATACCATTAGAAGCCCATCTTCAAGTAGTTACGCAACGAAGAATTTATATTCTTAAAGGCAATCATTGCTGTGTTACACACATTATCAAAAAACCTTTCTTTTCTGATGATCTTCTATTCTTTAGAATAGATGCTCAATCAATGCTGTTTCCTGTTTTACCGGAAGTGACATCAACTTTAATTTTTTAAATGGAACACCCATATTTTACTGCTTTTGGATTCTTTGTTTAATTGTCTTTTGAAAAGTTTTTGTACCATATGCCTAAAACGAACCGTTCGTGAGATATTCGCTAAATAATATATTTATTAAAGTAGGCATGGAAAACAATAACATCAAGTAATGTTGACAAATGTTAATTATAGTTTGCATTTTCTTTTGCTGTCATCTTAGTGTTTTTATACTTTTTGGTGTAAATCATGGATACTGATGTTTTAACAGACATGATTCAAGTATATTTTGAATCCGATAAAAATAGTTGGAGAGCACAACGGCTTTACCATCAGCGGTTTCCGACGAGAGAAGTTCCAAATCGTCGAAAATTTAAACGACTTGAAGATAATTTGAGTATGTTTGGAGCTTTTAAAAAACCTACATCAGAACATCGCCAATTTCAAAGAGAGACAGAATTAGATGTTCTTCTGAGTATTGAAGAAAATGCAAGTACCTCAACTCGAGAAATTGCAAGTAACGTTGGTGCATCACACGCAACTGTGCTCAAAATTCTTAAAAAACCTAAATTTAAATCATATGTGCCACAAAAAGTGCACGCCATAGAGGAAAATCACAATCAAAAAATCAAAACAGCAATTTTGTTATTTCTATTTAAATATGGTGGCACAAAATCCGCTTTTTTATAGAAAAATTATTTGGTCGGATGAATGCACTTTTAGTAATAATGACATTTACAATAGAAATATTCACCGCTATTGGAGCCAAGAACATCCAAAAATTGTTGAAGAAAGAAATGTTCAGCGAAGATTTAGTGTCAATGTGTGGTGTGTGGCATTTTAGGTAATCGTCTGATCGGGCCCTATTTCATAAACGGGAAGCTAAATCAAGAAAAATAAAATCAATTGTTGACTACAGAAACTGTTAATTTTGTTGACAATTTGCCTCTTATTGAACGGATGGCAGTGTATTTTCAGCAAGATGGGGCTACGCCTCATAATGCTAGAATTAATGTTAAATGGTTAAACGCCGAATTTGGTGCAAGGTGGATCGGGACAAATGGACCTGTTAGCTAGCTGGCCTGCGCGATTGCCCGACTTAACACCTCTCGATTTTTGACTATGGGGGTACTTGAAAGATCTTGTTTATTTTACACGGCCAGAAAACGAAGAGCTTTTAAGGCAGCGAATAATCAACGCTTGTCGCGAAATACCACCAAACTTTATATTGAATGCCACCAGAGGAGTAGCTAGAAGATATAGTTATTGTGATCAACAGAATGGTGGACTGTTTGAGCAATATTTGTAATACAGTAAGTTTGTTTGTCTTACATATTTTAAAATAAAAATTTTCTATTTTTTCCATAGCCTACTTTATTTAATTTATCACTAACTATCGCTTTTAGGAAATAATTAGTGATAAATAATTGTTAGTGAACTTTTTGAAAGACCATTGAACAAGGAAACCAAAAATAAGTTGGAATTTGTTTTATTAGAAACCACTCAGAGGGTATAATAAAGGCATGGAAAAGTGATAGCTTTGATAAAGGCTTGAAAAAAAATTTGTGGATGAAAATTGGAAAGCAATGTAGTCAAAATTTTCAAAAAACCTTTTCTTCTGATAACGTGGAGTCTAAGTGGAAAAGTTTAAAACGTACGTACAAGACTATCTTACTGCATAACAGAAGCACCGGAAAACAGAGGCGAAATTGGGAATTTTTTTCATTAATTGATAAATTCATGCAACATCGTCCCGAAATCAACCCTCAGGCCACATGTGGCGCCTACAAACGTGCAGTGACGTTTTTAATAGAATTACCACATCAATTAGCTGATGGGACATTAATTTTATCCCAATACGATTTTGAAGGTATAAATTTTGAGTTCGGTGAAGATAGCAAGTAAGGTAATTGTACCAATTGCTGACACTGACCCATTTGCTGACACATACTAAATTTCGTTTTATAAGCAAACTAATGCTTTCAGTAAATCTAAATTTAACTAAACACATCTAGGTAGTAAACGTTTGTCAAACTTAGTCGGTAATACTGTTCAAAATAATTGACAAAATAATTGATATCACTTAAAACAGCTCACCTGTTTGAGCAAGTTCTTCTTGTGTGACCATTGTTAAGGAATGTGCTAATGTTTATGTTTTATGTAGTTAATTCTTCGTGAAACATTTAAACAACATTTAATTATTTGAAATTCCATTATTTTCATGTTTTAAAGATAATATGAGGTGCATAAACTTTATGTTATTTAGTGTCAGCTTTTGGTTCATGATATTTTAAGTTTTCCCAAAAGCTGATGATAACCCATGAGGTATTGGTACATATACGTTTTCAAGAACTTGGCTTTTTCATGTAAGTTTGTGAAAAAAGGCAAGTTACAAGTTTACTAATAACTTTTGAAGCCCCCTTAACACTAATACCAAAGCCTGGTATAGCCATACTTTAAAATATGAATATCAAACAAAGTCTAACTTTCGTCAATCAGTTAAGGGTATTCAGCTTTAGGAACATTAGTTTTTAGTACAGTAAGTGGTAAAATAATCTTTTTTAAAACACACATTTTTACCAATCTTACTGAAAAATATGAAAGTAGGCTTATTACCTTATTTGCCAGTATGAAAGTAATTAGTGAAAACAAAATATTAAGGTCAGTGGTGGAGAATAGATATAAGTTCACAATTTTGTCAGATACTAGGACACGCAAAGTGAAGCGGGATTTTTAAATTATAGAAAATGGCAACATTACGTAAAATTCTAAATTACACAGAAGATGAGATGAGGCAGGCTTTGCAAGCGGTATGCGAGTTTCAACTGCGGCGAAAAGGTAGAAGATACCCAGAACAACATTACTTAATAAATATACTGGAAAATATCCCGCATCGCGTCGGATGGGTCCAAGTAAAGTTTAAACGGAAAATGAGGAGACCTTCTTAGTGAAATAGATTTTTCATTCGTCCGGTGCAGGATTTCCTGTGAAGAAAAGGCTACGCCGTCTTTACGTCAAATTCCTCTAGATATTCCATCTTTTAAAAGGGTGCTATTTTGGCCAAATTTGTTGTAAACAACCAAAAAAAGAAGAAAAGAAAAAATTCTGAGCAATGAAAAAATTATTAAAAAAAAAAAGAAAAGCAAAAAAAAAAGAAAAGGAAAAAGAAGAAAGGAATCTAAAACGGGAAAAAAAAAGAAACAAATAAAAAACTTGTAGGATTAAAGAAAACTAAATCTAAGGGATCTGAGAATGATTCCAACATAGAAGACGACACTAATAGTGAGACTGAAGAGGAAAGGTCTCATGAAATTGACAAAAAAACATTAAACAAGATACTTATGTTATTGTAGTTAATGAAAATAAATGTCGAGTGATCAAGATAATTTGTAATCGAGTCATCCTTGCATCTGAAAACGTATGTCTGTAAAATGTCAAGTAAAATGATAAGTCGAAAGATAAAATGGCATGATCAAAAAGGTGATGATTATAATAACTAAAGTTATAATTTACCTCCAAAAAAGAACGTTCCTACTCGTATTATTATACGTCGGCGACTAATTCAAGCCCATTTTGCCGTTTTACCTTTCGACTAGTCATTTTATTTGACGTTTCACGTGCAGTTAGTTCAAAAACAGACATACGTTCTCGGATGCAAAGATGACTCGATTACAAATTATATTGATCGCTCGATTTTAACCTCATTTTATTATCTCCATTTACGAAAATGGAGGTATGGGGCGCGTAATGACGAAAACAAAATATGACTATTAGAAATGGTCAAAACCTGAAGACAAAACATGGTGTACGATAGACGAAATAGTAGATACCTATCATTGCAGCCCCGGTATTTCACTTAACAGTCGCGGTATTTTTAAAGTTAAAGAAATGTGTAAGAGTATGTAAATATTTTATTCTTCGACACTGTGAAAATCTAGGGTTTTTTTCCTACGTAAGGAAGTTTTGACAACTGTTTGGCATTTCTCAATACAAAACGTAAAAAAATATATATGCAATAAAGTTCAAAATTCTCTACAAGTCTGAGTTGAGTGTATTCAAATTTCTTTCTTAGTGATTCAGAAAAAAAAATAAGCTAAGAGTTGGCACTCCTCTATTTCAGTTATTAGAGGGGTTGGTGATCACAAATTTTACCTAAGACTACTTTATGCCAAACAAATCATATCACTGGCATACCTACGAAAATAGACGCTGGGGCACCTAGCCCATACATACAGGGTGCGCCAGAACTCGCGCCCCAGAGAAAAATGCCATATAAGGTAAGATACCAGGAACATGGAATAAATGTTAAAAAAAAATTATCTATAAAAATTTCGTAGTTATGAGGGTTTAAAGTTTGCACTTTGACACTATTTATTTCTGTTGGAAAAATAATTTTCTAAGTTTTTTGGCTATAGGCGATTAAAAGAGGAAACAAGGAAGCTGTATCCTAAATTGTAATTCTGTTCAATGTTATTTGTGGCTTTTATTGCTAAATAATTGTAAAAAAAATATACAAGATCATCAGTATCATTAAATAGATATAAAAAATGTCAAATGTCAAAAAATAAATGTCAAAATTTTTGGACAGATAGAATTTTTTAAACATTTTTTTCATGTTCCTGGTATCTTATCTTACTTGAAATTTTTCTCTGTGGCGCGAGTTCTGGCGCACCCTGTATACGACTAGACCCTTTCAAACAATCTTCATATCATTGAACAGGATACATTTATCGTTATGGCTTATTATCGCAATGGGGTTTTTAATAATGGATCCTGGAATGACTCTGTCCCGACTTGCATGAATAAATTTTATGCGAGATTTCCAGACCTTTCAGTACAGGAATAAGTGTTGCGAAGAAACATTCCAAATGTAATAAATCGTTTTATCGGTACTGTATCTGTGCAAAAAGAAAAATTCTCAGGAAGACCTGATTTGTCGTAAGAATCTATTGAAAATTTGAGACAAGGAATTAAAGAAAATCCCAAAATATGTCTGCAAAGAATATCTCAACAGATTAAGCATTTGTTACAAATCCTTCTTAAATCAGTACTGTTCAGGAACTTGTGCCAGCAGACTATCAACATCGTATTCAGTATTGCAATTGGTTTCAAAATAACTTGAACAACAATGACTTACTAAACCTTTCTTTTTTTACTAATGAGGCATGGTTTCATTTTTCGGGATATGTTAATTCACAAAATTACAAAATATGGAGCGCTGAAAATCCCCACACCTTTGTTGAAACACCTTTACATCCACTCAAAATTGGAGTATGGTTAGCCATATCGTTAAGACGAATACTTGGACAATTTTTTTAATGAAACAATTACTGCCCAATTTTATAGGAAACAGGTTTTAGATGTGTTTATTAACCAGTTACCTGACGATGAATTGGGACAAGGATATTTCCAACAGGAGCTACAGCTCACACCGCACTAGCATCAGTTGAATATCTTCAAGAATATTTTGGTGAGAGAACCAATATTCTTTGGCCCGCTCGATATTTTCTTTCACTAAAAAAAAGTTTGGCTCTCACACTAGAGTCTGAGAGAATTGGAAAAATTTTTAGCCGACAACTGCTCAGTTCCTGAAGATGAAAAGACAAGGTTTATTATATTATGTAATGCAGAATATGATGAACCTTCACACTTTCGTTGTTTTGTTTCAACAAAACCCTTATTAAAATTGGCGATTGGTGCAAAGCACATTCATGCAGACGCTACCTACAAATTAATTTGACAAGGGTTTCCGGTATTGGTAGTAGATATATGTTTACAACAGACAGAGCTAGACAATTTCATTTAACATGAAGATTTTTTTTATATTTAAAGCTTTGGTGTTAGAAGTTGGGAAGGTGTTTGACAAGCAGATTGGCTCAAAAACGGCAGTGTGTGATGCCTTTGCTGCTATTCATAATGCTTTAAAACAAGTTTCTGAAGAAGAATCATTAAGCCGTGATGGTATCACATGAAGAAAAATGTACAGAGAAAAGCTTATATTATGTCCTAAATCAGATGTAATCAAAATTCTTAATGACATTGATACTCTTTAATTAAACAAAGATGAAGTCATTTTTGATTAAGCATCAAATCTAGAGGGTGAATCATACATATACAGGGTGTTTCACATAATTTTACGAGGCCTGCGCCTGTAAGATGCAATCTATAATACATATTCCGATACGAACTCGATTACAAATTTGGAAAAATTAGATAATCTTCTCTAGTTTGTTCACCCTTTCAAAAATTACAACGTTTAGTTAGTTAGTGATTAAGATAGATAAACTAGAATCATATTTATGCCGTCTCTTGATAGAACAAATGATAATTGTTTCTGAAAAACTGCAGTTTATGACTAGTTATGAAACAGTGATTAGTTTGACAACTACTGTCATGGGTTTCCAAAAATTAAATAAGTAAATGTGTATTTTTTGTATCCAGTGTTCTGTGACTTTTGTATATTTGGGTGCATTAGGCGCAAGCCTCGTAAAGTTATGTGAAACACCCTGTATAATAAAGACTGTAAGAATGTATTTTGGGTTGCGTCTAAAAATCAGTCAGGGTCTTTTTATTATAAGTGATTCAAAATGTATTTATTGAAAAATGGCGACAACAACAGGAATTTGTAGCGTATTTAAAAAAAGAATGGCTTGATTGTAACCGAACTTAGTATGAATGTGTTTCAAATGAAGTACTCAGCACCAATAATGCACTGAAAGCTTTTAGTCCAGTTATTAAAGACGAAAACACATTGATTGATCTAGAATTAGTTATTATTGCTTAATGCTGACAGCGTAATTAGTTTTTAGACCAACAGAGTATGTAAAATAGACTAGTCAGTAGTCTTCAGCGAAGACAGTAGCAATCATGTAGTGATTACTAAAAGTAAACCCAATAAAGCCCTAAAAATAGAACCTCTTCCTTCTGTTCGTCCTCCATGTCCATAACGAACATTACATGGCGATCCTGACTAATTTTGGAAATTTAAAAATGTCCACGATTTTTTATACAGAATAGTTGTCTACAGCATTGAGTATTGGCACCATAAACTGGCCGGTGACTTCAGTTTCAGTTTACATTTTTCGAACGTCACCACTTTTAAAAAGCGTCAAACGTAAACTGATACCTTTTTCTGGATTTCGATGGTAGTAAATCCAAACACATATTTGTAGCTTCATTTATTTTGATATTTAACGGTCTAAAAAAAAGTTCTTGCGGGTTGTCGCAGACTTTTACTTTTTTTCATAAAATATGTATTGTTTACATAGCAACTTTCATAGGTAACTAAAATTAGACGTCCAATAGTATGGTGCCAATTTGTGTGTTAATTTAATTTGGCTAATAATAATAATCGGTAGCGGAAAAAATATAATAAATGACACGGAATGTAAGGACTAACTTTTCTCGGAAGGGTAAGCAGGGCCTAAGTTTCACTTCGGCTCATGCAATTCTCATACATTCCTTGTAGCTTAAATAACTATTAATGTTGTATCTAGAATAATTTTATGGATCTTAGTAGTTAAAAAAATTTTGCTGACTTAAAGAAAGTTAGACAATATTTGATTAAAATAGGAGCAAGTAGACGTAAGGGTGAAATTTTAGATAGGAAAATTTTGAAGCCAAAGTCATAAAGGAATTATTTAGCACAGCCGCTAATCAAATTGAAGCGTTAGTACGGCGTTTGGTAATGCGACTGAAGCGCGTCGATTGTACGAGGAGCGCATTCGAAAAAGAAACATCACGGTCGCAAGCACTTCTACGGTAGCGGTCCAACAAAGCCTGAAATTTTGGATGCCGTTGAAAAAGATCCCAGTTTGAGAATCCGCAAAGTGGCTCATCGTGTAGGAGTCTCTTCGTTCACAGTTCATCGAACCCTACACGAACAAGGGTTGCACCCTTACCATCTCCAGCGGGTGCAGGCTCTACAACCCGAAGATCCGGCTCGACGATTGGTTTTTGCTCAATGGTTAAGCCAAAAACTTGATGAGGAGCCAAACTTTTTACGCAATGTGTTGTTTACGGACGAGGCAATTTTTACACGTGATGGTATCTCCAACCGCCACAACACCCACATTTGGGCTGATAAAAATTCTCATCAAGTGTACGAGCATCACTTCCAAGACCGATTTTCGTTAAACGTTTGGGCAGACATAATTGACGATCATCTAATAGGATCACACGTTTTACCTCAACGATTAACTGGTGCCGCTTATCTCGATTTTTTAGAAAATGTGTTGGATGATTTGTTGGAAGACGTGCCCTTGGCAATACGGAGGAACATGTGGTATATGCAAGATGGGGCTCCACCACATTATGCCAGAGTCGTCACCAATTGGTTGAACAACCATTTTCTAGAAAAATGGATTGGTCGCCAAGGTCCAGTTGCATGGCCACCGCGGTCACCAGACTTAAATCCGTGTGATTTTTTTTGTGGGGTCACATGAAACAATTAGTGTATGCAGCTCCAATTAATACCTTAGAAGAGCTGACCGATCGTGTGATGCAAGCAGCCGCATCGATTAGAAATCACCCGGGGATGTGTGCGAGAACACAAGCTTCTCTGGTCCGAAGGGTTCAAGCATGCATTATCAACGAAGGGCAACATTTCGAGCAATTTTTATAACGGCAAGTATTGACCCACTAACATTGACACTGATCTACCTTAATGTAGCGATAATTTTTTTGTCTTTACGCTGTTTACGTTCTGTAGAGTTTTCTTATGAAGGACGGGTTTTCAGCCTTAATTTATTTTTAATTTTAACTCAAAAATGACGTGCTTTCGACAAAAGTTGGAATAACGAAAGTTGCTTCTTTCGACGAGTTCTTTTAGTGGCTAAAATATTTGCTCGCAGTCCTCAAACGCCCTGTATAGTTAGGTTGTCATTTTGAACATATTTTTATCAATATTTTAGTTGTTAGTTAGTTATCTTAATTAGCTAGGCCATATTTTAATGTTATTGTACAAAAATCAGCAAAGTTTGGTTACGCATAAAAAAATGAACCAATCACAGAGCTTGCTTTCAATACAAAGCTCCGCTCCACTCGCGCGGGCCAATCACGGAGCTAGCTTTCAATACCGAGCTAGGCTCCACCCACTCGCGCTGCTCATGCTTCATTGGCCCTCGCTAAGATCCGACGTGTATAAAGCCTCGCAGAACCGCACAAAAAATCACGCCGCCGCTCTGAAGGGGGCTATGGCCCCCTTCGCAGAACGGCTGCAGCGCATCGAGGACGCTGTCTTTTCGGAGACAAGCTCTCAAAGTTCGACAACATCTTCAGGGACCATTACCAACTTCTCGGCGCATTCACTGGAATCCGGAGCATCGCAGACATTTTGTCTGACACCGCGTCCCCCAAGCGACAGCGACATGGAGACGGAGCACTTCAGTCCAGCCAAAACTAGAAAGAAGCGACCAGCACCATCCCACAGTCCCCCTGAGCCCGAGATTTCCACCGAGAACAGGTTTTCGAGCCTGTCCGAGGAGGAAGATCTCAAATCACCGCCAGTTTCGGACGATGAGGAGGAAGAAGAAGAGGTCTTCGCCCGCGACCTCCCAAGGCGTCTCCAGACAGCCCCCCTGACTGTCACCACATGGTCGGCAGTTGTGGCGGGTTCAGCTCCAAAAGTCTCTCAGGGCTCCACCCCAGTAGCCCCCCAGGACAACAATCCGGCAGCCTCCCCAACCAAAGGCACCAAGAATTCCGCCCATTTTTCTGGGGGACGCGGGAAAATGACAGCAGGTCTCCAAAACTGCCAAATTTACCAAGGCGAAGAGCGTAGGGGAGACCGAGGAGAGTTGTGACAGAGAAGAGTTGTGACATCGTCGATTTCTCGGAACCTATAACTACTAGCGAACTCGCAACAGCGCGCGTTTGTTGTTTTTGAGACTCGCTATTTAACGCAGTACGCGATAACAGTGCGCGGAAAGCGGTTGTGAATATACAACATTAGTGTACAAAAAATTGCCAAAACTAAGTTTTTTACCAAAATTTTGATTACATATATATCGTTTTGTATTATGTTTGCATTGTTATGATATTTTTTTTTATATGCTTAAGTCTTTCAAGTTTCCTAGCGTAGTATTGTTTTTTTTGTATTGACATCTTATTTCGACATTAAGAATTATTATTCTGACCGGCTCACTATTTTTTGCACCTAGGCGAATTGTGACAGTTTGTCACAACTCTCCTATTATTGTTTATTTCTCTGGCAAGGTTCTTTTATTTGTCTTGTGGTTCATATTGCATGTTAAATTGCTATTTTTTTTTTGTTTCAGAATGCCAAATAAATATAAACGAAAGACTGATAGGGGTATGAGTAGTGTCGAAATTTATGAACTGGCTTTTGAGGAAGTCACATTAAGAGGTAAAAGTCTTCGAAATGCCGCATCCTCTTACAATCTGAACTATATGTCCTTGCAAAGATATATTAAAAAGAAAAAGGCAAATCAAGCTAATCAAACAAATGAGACTCCATCTGTTTAGCCCGACGATTTTTACCGAAGAGGAAGAAAATGTTTTACGAGATTATTTGTTAACATGTGCAGCATCTAATTATGGGCTTACAACAAAAGAGACAAGAAGTTTGGCATATATGATAGCGAAAAAATGCAATAAAAAATTTCCGGCGTCATGGGAAGAAAACAAGAAGGCATGCGAAGTGTGGCTCAAACTATTTATGTAACGACATCCCATTTTATCTTTAAGATTGCCTCAAGCCACGAGCATAGCTCGCGCCACGAGCTTTAATAAAATGAATGTAGCTGCTTTTTTTGACCATTATACAGGTGTCTTAAGTAAACATAGACTTGACGCAAAAGATATTTGGAATGTCGATGAGACGGGAATAACTACTGCTCAAAAGCCTGATAGAGTAATCGCGCGACGTGAAGAAAAACAGGTCAGTGCGATGACATCGGCGGAAAGGGGTACCTTAGTCACTCTGGCTTTGGCTGGAAATGCTATAGGTAATTACATACCACCTATGTTCATATTTCCACGTAAAAGATTCCAAGAACATTTCATTCGTGATGGCCCAGTTGGTTCAGTAGGAACAGCTAATGGATCTGGATGGATGCAGGAGGACGATTTTCACTTTTTCCTTGAGCATTTCAGAAATCATGTTAGACCATCAAAAGAGCAAAGAGCTCTGTTGCTCCTGGATAATCATTCTTCCCATATGACTTTGAAAAATATTGAATTCTGCAGAGAAAACGGCATTATTTTGCTTACATTGCACTCACAAGCTTCAACTAATGGATCGTGCTATCTTTGGGCCTCTAAAAAAAGCTATTAATACAGCTTGTGATAGTTGGATGCGCTCAAATGCTGGGAAAGTTATGACCATCTATGATATCCCATCTATCACAAAATCTGCATTTGACGTGGCAGTCCACCTGGTCTGAGCAGTAACACCAACGAGCCCGTTGCCTCTACATCTACAGTACGTAGTCCTCTTGCTACTACTTCTAATGTGTTCTCGCCAGAGTCACTTAGGCCGCTGCCAAAAGCTCCGCCAAGAAAAAGGAACCAACCGAATAGACGCAAGATCAAATCTGCTGTGCTTACTGATACACCTACCACGGATGAAATTGCTGCCATAGAAGCTAGTCGAAAGATAAGAAATGTAAAAAAACGTGTTTTAAGCGATAAAAAAAAAGAAACCTAAAAAAATTAAGCAGACTAATAAAAAAAATAAGGTTGATGATGAAGAGGATGAAGCCGAAGAAGATGCAGAAAATGATTGTTTTTGCTTGTGTTGCCTTGAGACCTTTGTCAATAGTAAATCAAAAGAGAAGTGGGTACAGTGTCTCGAATGCAAAGGCTGGTCTCATGAAGCTTGCACTGGGGGCGAGCTTCAATACGTGTGCCATAATTGTTTATCCAATCAAATTTTAATTTTTGACTGAATATTATGTTATTTTAGTACGTACATGCATACCAAATAATAACTAAGTACTTCGTTCGAAAGAAATGTGTTATTTATTTATAATGGTATTTTTTATTTAACAAATAATCTAAATACATAGGTGTCACAACTCACCTTGGTATTTGTTACAACTTACCTTGGTATGAGGAGAGTTGTGGCACGGGGAGTAATTTTTATTTTCGTAGATTTTCTCAGAAACCTTAATATTTTAATTAATTTTGATGATTATTTCTTAAAGAGTATAGATTGAGCTACATTAACTCATATAACTCATATGATATAAAATGTTTCTTGACTGAGATATGTTAATTAAAATAAAAATTGTCACAACTCTCCTCGGTCTCCCCTAAGCGACCAAATCAGAATTCAGCCTCATTTAATTATTTGTACAACCTGAATCGGATATTTATTTTCACCCTATAGTAATTTATTTTTTTTAATAGGGGAGAGTGGGATAAGATGACGAGGCAGGTAAGATGACGAAAGCTCGTTATATTTTTCTACAAAAACATAATTTGAAAATGACACTGTGGCACACTCCATTAACGAGTGGGGATATGAAATTCCCAATATCGCCCGAAGATCTCTACATTTAAACTAGATGTGTAGCCACTTGTGTTTTTGTGGGTTGTGCTATACTTTCGTGGTCTACCTTGATAAGCTTTTTACAAAAATTTGAGGTGAGTTAACAAAATCTTTTCTTGCTAGGTTTAATCTGCACTAAATGTGTCACATATTACTGCAATACTTTTCATACACTATTTTTTAATTTCACAAACAATAAAAATTTGTTACATAACCTCAAAGGGTAAGATGGCGGGGGTAAGGTGACGAATAAGATGACGAATTCGTCATCTTACCTTTCATTTCACATCTTATCTACCTTACATTATTTTTGTTTTTTATTTGTTTTTCATGCAGAATGCCTCGAAAATATGTGAAGATCAGTACAAGACGTTCCTGGGATGAAAATGCTCTTATTGCAGCACTTCAAGAATACGACATACCGGAAGCTACTTTGCGTCGCTATCGTAAAAAAATGAAGATATTCCGCCTCACGGGGTAGATTTCATTGCACTTTTAATGATGAACAAGCTGCATTACTTGTAAAATATGTAAAAGAGTTTGATAATCGGGGATTCGGTCTTACTGCAATGTCGCTTAGAAAACTCGCATTTGAATTTGCAGAAGAAAACCGAATAAATCATAGATTTAATCAAACATTAAAATGGCCGGGAAAGAGTGGCTCTTAGCTTTCATGTCAAAACACCACTTGAGTTTGAGAACTCCGGAAGCAACAGCAGTTGGTCGCCTGATGGGGTTTAATCGTGTGTCTGTGGAAAAGTTCTTAGATAATTTGAAGAATGTTCGGGAGAAATATGCATTCTCGGCAGAGAGAATTTTTAATGACGATGAATCCGGCTTATCCACTGTTCCCAACAAGCTCCCAAAGGTTCTAAGCGCAACTGGAAACACAAGAGTTGCTAAAATTGTTTCAGCCGAGGGTGGAAAAAA